TGAGGCGATGCAAAGAGAACTTGCCGAAGCCTGAAGGAACTTGGGAAGAAGGAAAAGGGAACGAGGAAACGAGGGAAGAAGGATAGAGGGAACATGGAAAGAGGAAACGAGGGAAGAAGGAAAGAGGGAAGTAGGGAAGCGGGAACGAGGAAACTTGAGGGAATATGGGGGGGAGAAAGGGGTCGCTAACGCCCTCCTTTTTTTCTTTCTCCGTATCTGCTGCGCCGTTCTCGAGTGCGGAGCCGTGCCGAGACGAAGTTTCCAAACTCAATGGGTGACATGCACCGAATCCGTTTAAGCTAAACTAATCTGACTTCACGATGATCCCCAATGGAAATCAGTTTAACCGAGATAAACTTATTCCCAAAGACGCCCATTATGAAAACGAATAGGTTTAAAGTTAAAGGAATCTGGTGCATGTCGCCCAATTTCACCAATTTCTCCGAGCCTTTCGTCGACGAAGGTTGGTTTGGATGCGTAGCATGCATGAGCTCGATGCATACACCCCGATCAACCTACGTCCATCAAAGGCTCGAACGACTCGGTGCGAAAGAGTTCGGGAGACTTCGGGTGACATGCGCCTCACCGATCTAGGAGCTAAACTCATCTGGTTCCAGGAAAATATGTTTAAGAATGAGTTGGACTCATCGTTAAACCGATTTGTGTCATGCACCAAAGGCAATCAGTTTATTTCTCTTTTCGACTAACTTAACTTGTTCCATGGCAGGTTAATCTCCCTAAACGGTTTCTCAGATGCAGTTTAGATGCTGTTTTCCCGAGTGGGACTCAGTTTTCTTGCCTCGCATCGTCAAGCTACGGTGGAATCGGAAACTAATGACGACAGAAGTTTTTAGACATGAATTTGAACCAATCTACCAGGAGGATTATCAAAGATGGCTCAATCTTCTTTAATGTTTGAATGGGGAAACATTTGAAGAAGGTCTCGTGTTTCCAAGGACGCCGTCGCCGACTTGGTGAGGACGAGTAGCAGGTGGCGTGTAATATTCATCATACTCTTTCCAAGTGCTTCCATACCGCCTTTAAACGTGTTTAAGTGGTGGATAAACGTGTTCGTGGAAACTAATCTGATTTTCGGTGGTGCATGCCAAAGATAAACTCATCTTAAACATGTTTTAGTGTAAACGTGTTTATCTCGTCTTTAAACTTATCCGGCGCCTTAGTTGGCGCATGTCACCCTTCGTCTCGACACGATTTTACTGTTAAAAACTGAAGAATGGCGAAATAAGGAATTGGGTTCAGTGATGCAAAAGAAGAAAAAGAGGAATTATTATTAGCGATACTGCTCTCTTCTCCCTTTCCTCGGACGTTTGACAAGTTTTCTATGCAGCACCTCATCCTTTGACCTTGAAACTTCCCTCGATAATTTCTACTCATCATTTAGCGTTTCCATTTCTCATTCGTCAAGAAATTCGTGGAAATCGGTTTTGAACGATCAGTCCGACTCTCCCATCCCCTTTCAATTAGAGCCTTTCACGAGATTTATCTGCCGAAACTTATCCTGCACCTTTGAAGCTCCAACCATCGACAAAGTTTCATCGAGATCGCTGAGCTCCTTCTCGGTGTTGCCTATGGGTGCATTTCTCGTTCTGCACTTTTACTCTTCCATCACTCGTTGCCGACAGAGACGAGACCTGGGTCCATCGAGCCTGCGATGGTCACCGTAACGTACTCTCGTGAAACGTGAACGGTACACTGCACTAAGCACCGGTATTCTGTTTATAGCGAGTTTTATCACGCTATAGGGTGCTGGGGCTTTCGAACTTGCATGGAATCTCATTTTCTCTTCGGGGACCACTCGTCTAAATCTTCACTTGAATTAAGAGCCAATTAGACGATAGGCAAACGATCAGATTTGCTTAACTGGACTTGTTTATCGGAGATAATCCTAACGGAAACCCCGAAATTAGGATTTCGATCGCGTAACGTTGGGAATATTTATATCTCGCCTCGGGCCCGACGGAATTCTTTCGCCGACCGGATCTTGTCCGCAGGTGAAGATCTCACCAAGATTTCATCACCCTTGCCGGACTCGAACTACTGCATTCTGCAGGCGCTATAAATAAAATAAAGTAAAGCTATTTGGCTATATTGTGACCAGTCTAAACAAATGCATTAGTTACTCCTCGGAACTAATGTATATAGTAGTTTCACTCGACTCCAGATGGAGTAAAGAAGAGACAAGTAAATAAGTATTATTTATTTATTTACTAATTATGCCAGCACTGAACATTTCAGACTTGATCCTTCAATGCAGCTAAAAATCCGTGAATCGTGACGATCTAACCCCATTAATAACTAAATATGCTGGGAACTTCTTACTCGACTTTTCGATTATTCAGCACGAGGCTTTTCAGAATTCGGTCAAAGTTTTGAAAAGTTTTCTTGAGTAATTCACTCATTAAAAGCCAGATATGATTCAAGAATCCATTCGAACTTCACTCGTCGAATATTCCTTCGGTTTCTTCTTTAGTGAAGAGGGAGTTTGTTTGCTATATATATATATATATTTATTTATTTATTATTATTATTATTATTTTTAGTTTAGCAAACGCCGTGGATGGCAGTATTGGTTTCCAATAAAGCCATGGAGATTGTGGAGATGTTTCACACAGTAAGAGAACGAGTCGCATAGAGGAATACGGATTTCGACTCCTTGCATTGTAGCACTTAGTATTCCAAGAAGCCGAGCACCTGGAACGAGATTAAATCAGCCCATTGTGGACCCAAAGGCTCGGGCTAATTCCGTACCGACTTTTCTAAGGTGTCGGTCCTCGCATTTCTTCGATTTTGGGGCATGTGAACGCGAACGTGGCCCCAAGGCACGTGTACGTGAACATTCGAAAACTCTTAATGCGCCGCCGAAATCGATGCAGTCACTTTTTCTCGACCACGGTATGCATACGTTTATAGGTCGATATTTTGTAACTCCTCGTGACGCGGTTCTTACGACTCCCGCAGTCTCATTTTCTGGAAATAGTATCGTAATTTTTGCTGCAGAACGGTGTCTTCGGCCCCTCGTTTCGTTCCATATTTTTTGCGTTACCCTCTATTTAAGGACGTGTTGGAGGCCTTCACGGAGTATACCCTCATACCCTCTGGCTCATTCTTCTCAAGCAGCTGAGAGTTGCCGCATTTGAGCACTCGAGTCCCTTGCGATGCTCACCCTTAGGGCGAAGGGGGACAACACGAGAGACCTATCATTGTTCAAACTCTTCTTTCGCCTCTGGCTGCTTCCAAATGTTGGCTAGTATCTGGGAACTTTCCGTATCGCAGTCCTTGAGACTGTTTCTCTCACTACGACAAAAAAGTTATAAGACGACCACCATTGTTTCGTTTGCGTTCGTTAAATCCCATCAGTCCATTGGCTCATATATGAGGTTAGACCAGATTGTAGCTAAACCTCGAATAATTCTATTTGCTCTGGTTGGTGCGTACGGAACGTCGTGCTAGTTAACGCATAAACGAGAGCGTGAGTTATGAGACAAGTAATTTGTGCCGACTTTGAAGACCTGCATTAATGCATTGCTATTTTTCCGCATTCAATAGAAAGTTATTATGCATGCTTGTGCTTGCTAAAAAGATTCTTTAATGAATCTCATCATCTCAAAGAATTATTCTCTCATAGGCAACTGACGGAAGGAGGAAGCAGGTCGAAGAAAGGAATTTCAGGTATGTAGGGAAGTGAATGGCATCCAATTAGGATGGAAACAGAGACCGAGAGCCGTGCAGTACAGGTACTGGTTGAGGCATGCATAGATAATCCGTAGAAGCATATGAGGCGACGCCTCTTGAACATAGGGTTCGTGGCAGCTGGTATGCATCAAACTCGACAGGGTCTTTGTTTTCGGCGATTCCGACTTTTTTCCCCTCTCCATCAACCCTCGCATCATATAGGTCGGGTATACAAAATGAGGAGGAGAAACTGAGTGTGCTCTCCTTTTGATTGACTTTTGACCCCAGGGTGTACATGTGTGTCTTTTAATTCAGGCTGTCATTGCCGCTCTTGAGAACGAGAACAAGCAGGTAATCATGAGATCGCGTGCTCGTCTTACCCCACCCGATCCGATTCCGATACGATATCTCCTCTATACAGCCTCTATTTTTTCTCCTTCATCCTTGATGATGGTCGATGGTCATGGACCCGATCGCGGTGTCAGTTGTTCCAGCCCTGCATGCCTCTGTCATAACTAGGTCTGAAATATGAAGCGGACACGAGAGACAAAAGCGGAGGGCATGCAATTAGGGGGAGAAGAAGCTCGACTCGCCTTTGAAGTCGAAAATGCTTATGTAATGGGACAAGCCGATGAATAGAAGTCATTCATCAAAGCATGGAAGCTGAGAGATTCACCTGTCGCTTCTTGTGGAAGCCGGACTCTTCCCTCGGGGTATCTCTTCAATTGACCTCAATGATCGTCGTGATGATGAGATTCCCTCGTGGAACGGAAGAGGGGAAATCTCCTTCCAGGCATTCTCTTGTCCTTCCGTAATATCATGTGTTGTCAGCTGCAGCATCCCCGTTCCATGAGAAAATTATGATCGACGTCCACAGCGGGTCCCTTGTCTTTGTTTCTTTTTATGGGATGGCCGAATGGTCACAGCGATATCGCCGGAGGATGAATGATCCGTTTGATCCACATTCCGAGTCCACGAGAGAGCACTACATCTCTCCCTTTTCAAAATCTTCTCTTCTCGCTCTGCCTCGCATTAATTCATCATAATTACACTGAAAATTGGGGCTCGCTACCCCGCTGCGTCGAATCTGTCTGTCCTAGGATGTCGAGTGACCCCCAACTCCAGATGATTTGCATGGTGCTTCCGTATGCGTGGGCAGTCATCTCTTATTCAGGCTACAGTGACAGATGTCGAGGGGAGAGGAGCTCCGATAAAAAAAAGAATTCATCAGGATGTGACGAGTAAGGGACAATTTATTTCATGAATATCCACAATGCATGAGCACGTGTTCCTCAGTATCACAGATACCATGCATATAGAAGAACGAAAAAGAGAGAGAAAGAAATATGAGGGAAGATGAGAAGGAAAGATATGACACGAGATGAGATACAGTATCTTCTTCACCACATCATCAGAGCTCTCTCTTCTTGTAGGATGAGAGGAAGGAGAAAGAAGCCCGAACGAGAGGATCAAATGAAATTATCACAGCGTCTGCTACATGGAACAGGAATGGCACGATCCCCCGTGGGAAGTGGACACCTAGAACATACTTCCCTCATCTGCACTTGGCATTGAGCAATAACAAGCATCGTTTGTAAGAGCTGTGGTAAATGAGATCACGTGTGAATCGATCCATCCACGGTGGGACTAGAATCACGTGAATGGCATTCATTCGTTCGTACATCCGAACGTTCGAAAGTTCAAACGACGATTTCCCGGATGATGCGTCGATTATTGCGTGTGGAGATTTCACCCTCTCCAGATTCGTCCATGGGCATCATTGTCCTCATCGAACTCGATAGCCCAGACTGCGGCATGCCTCCTCCTCCACCTCCATATCCGGATTCTCCGATCGGATACAGAGAATCTGCGAAGAAAATTGTTCCCGTCACTTGGATCGATAGAGGCGCTTATAACGGATACGGTCTCGTTCGCATTTTGAACCGAACGAGGACGATGACAGAGATATGATATAGACAATAATTGGGATAGAAGTGCAGAACGGAGCGTCAGCTGGCCATCATGACTCGAAAATGAATCTTCTTTATAATTGATAAGATCCTCCTTTTCTTACTCTATGTACTAAGAATATCCCGCTCCAATTAAGATTTCATCACGAGTCCCTCTCTCATTAAGGGACATGGGGCCAATTAAAAAGTCCGGTCATCCCTTCCAGCATTGTCTTCGGATATAAACTTTCCCTCTTCGTCCTATCACTCTTGATCAACAGGTGCGATGAATGGCTACAATCACAAATGGCACTTACCGTTATGGTCGAGGAGAGACGGAAAAGCATTGGAGGCGCTGGGCGGTTTATTATGCATGTGTTGGGGCATGAACTCCAAGTCCGGTTGACCCGAGTGAGTACTTGGTGGATAATGAGAATAATCCCCATAGCCAGAGAACCCCAATCCCAAGGGATCGTAATTCCGATATGAAGATGCACAGTCTTCTCCCGACGGGCCTGGTTTCCACAGAGAATCCTGGGAATTGAGGGATCCCCCTGCCGTGGATCCCACGGCCATGTATCCGTGACACCCTATGCGGAAATCCACGATATGAGCCAGAGGCAGTTGGAGGGAAATGAAGGATGTTTCTATCCGTCTTACCTCCATTCATGCCGTATTGAGCAGTTCCATAAACGTGGGTAGGTGAATTCCCCATCCCGTCGTCGCCGGATGGAGGCGAATGGTGTTCTCTGTCTCTTTTCCCGTCGGTCTGGAAATACGGAGGCGGTGGAGGCGGCTGCTGTGCCACCAGGTTCGGAATAGGATGCATCCCACTGAAAAGCAAGTGCCACCAACCTCGCTCAGCCCCAAGAACACATGCCAAAGGCATCATTTAAAAAAAGAAAAGAAAAAAAGAAGAGCCTAGTATGGATGAATTACTGACTTGGCGTTAGGAAGGCGATAATTCTTGTCCCCTTTCGTCGCTTTGGGCTCCGTTCGCCGGCAGCAGCAACAGCACAAGATGATGATCCCCGCAACAACGAAGGCCACACAGCAAAGGACGATGACCACAAGATATTCGATCGGGAATCCCCGTTCCGCAACCATTTGCCCCGGAACTGTTGTCACTGCAGGAATAAAAAAATCTTCCCGTGACATCAACCGAAATTTCTATGCGAAAAACGCGGCGGGAACGAGGAAGGCGAAGGAGTGGAAATGACTTCGTCATGGATCGGCGCCCCTCTTTTTCGTCATTGCCCGAGGACATTATCAAATCCCATTCTAAGATTATAATATACGAAGAACACCACATCAGAGATTCTGCTCGTATTTTTTCTCCTCCGTCAGAGCAGCTGCGATATTATAGATCACGTCAGGTATTCTTTAGCCCTCGATCTTACCCCAGCGCCATTATTAAAGATCTATCTTTTGAAGATCGGCCAGGTTAGCGCCAACTTAACGATACCAACCAGTCGTAAATGAGTTTTTCCGTTGGAAAAATTAAGAAAATAATGCTGACTGAACGTATGCGGATGCTATAGCAATTATAGAAGAGCAATTAAGAAAAGGGAGGAGGGGAATTAAAAAAAAAGCCGTAAAATGGGGAAGTTATAAAGTAAAGCCCTAGCGCAGTTATAAACATTATGAGGATGATCCTACCAAATTGCGCTGGAGCCACTTCGCCACAGAGGGTGAGGTTCTCGGCGAGACAAAGGCGGACTTGGACACCTCCGATGCGGGGAATCCCAGATTCCTTCCCGCTCTCGATCTTCAACTCCATGTGTTCTTCATCTACAGGAATCTCTTGGTAGGACTTCCATTCCATGGATCCCATCGCGATTTCTACTTTTCCCACAAGTGGGATCGGTGCATTTCGAACAGTGAAGATGAGAAGCTCATCCTCTTCACCATAGTAGACATCTTCAGGCACCGGAAGGTGGGAATAACTTATTCCCGTTCTCCAGTCCAAATGATGAGAGAAATCACTCTCTCCCTTCAAATTGAATGCCTTCACCTACAAATAGAAGAACCGAATGGTAAAATCTTGCGAAGGCCTTGACACTGAAAGGCAAAGTCTTGAGAGGAATTTCCGCATCTTAAAAACAGCGTCCGAGATCTATGCAAGCAGTCGACCAACCTTGAACGTGTAGGAAGTCTGTGGTCGAAGTCCAGTAATATTGCATGGGATTTTATCTTGACAATCGAACATCATTTCATGACGAGAGTCTTCCAGTTCCTTGACGGAGATCATGTATCCTAGGGAATGAGGGAGTCCGCCGTGGTATCCAGGCAGCCAGGAGAGAAGGACCCAAGAGGGGCCAGTGGCCTGTGCCCTTGGAGGGAGAGGAGGGTCAGGAGGGCCTCTCGGGCCTACGACAATCCGGGTATCGCCCCTCCCAAGAGCATTGGATGTCCGGCAGATGTAAGGACCAAAATCTTCATCTACCAAATCCCTGATCGCCAACACTCCCACATGGACGTCTCCTCCCAGGCTCGTACTGTTGCTCTCGTATTTCCCTCCTGCACTCCCTTCCACTTCCACTTCCACTTCCATCTCCACCCCCCCTGCCCCTGTCCCATCCGGCTTTCCCTGCCTCCGACCTTGTACTCTAGGCCTGAACCACTGGAACCTAGGACGTGGGAAAGCCCGGACGCGGCATTCCAAATTCACTGTTTCTCCAACCGTTCCCGCTTGCTTCTTGGGTCCACCTTCCCAAATTGGCGCATCTGGAAGGGAGAAAATGCATACGAAAAATAAGACACGGGGACCTTTTTCCCCCGTCTATCTCCCCCCACCCCCCCTCCCTCTCTATGCATGTCGTTCTTTATGTCAGACGGCATAATGGAGATGCATGTCATAGCCATGGGCCTAGCTATGGCCTACATAAAAAGAGGGGGGATATAAAGGGAGCGAAAAATCGACTTCATTTGTGTTTCCCCCCTCACCGTTCCCTCGTGGCCCCTCTCTTTTTTGGGGAGATCAAAGTCGTTTGGCCTCCAGGTTTGGTTTTTTTTCTCCCTCTTTCTCTTCCCTTGGCCAATTTATCAGGGGAATGTGACGCTGGCCACAGCTATCTCCCACCATAAATCACAGGACCAGCTCCTGCTAATGACCCACACATATATGAGCTAATGCTAGAGCCGTGGCATGACTCCACTGTCTTCCTTTTCTTTCATACCTCCCACAGTTCTCCAGGAACAACTTCATCAACGCATATCCCCGCGGCTTGATGATCCTTCCCAATTGCACGTCTCCGGATCAAAAAGCACTCGTGTTTTCTTCCGCAGATGCGGATGAGTAATGGAGGTTCCTTTCGAGGGTTCTCCACTTTTTCTCCTCTCGTCTCTTCCACATTCCACGGTTTGGCAGAAGGCTGACGATGTTGAGAAGCCGTGCGTGGATGGCATGTAGCTCGAGCTGACAGAGCATACAGGCATTCCTTCCCTTCAATGTCAAGGCCCAAGCGGTAGAAGGAAGTAAAGGTGGAATGAGGATGAGAAAAGGAAAGGCTGTTTCCCTGTGCTCGGCAGGGCACCAAGGGTAACCATTTCTCCAGGATGGCACCCAACGGGTCATTACCTACCCATCCCGTTCTGCTGCCTGCCTTTTCTGCTTTCCTTCTCTTTCTCGTCCATCCTTCTCGCTTTCTCTGTTTCTACATCATGTGGACCTTCACCGGTTCCAAGGACAGAGACCCATGTCATTTCACATCACCATACGCAGGCAGGAGGGGAGGGAACGAGAGGACTCATGAGTTAGCGGAATGAAAATAGCCGCCAGTCATCTCTTTCTCCTCTTTCTCTCTCTCTATCCCTATCTACATGAAATAGTTTTATCGAGAGAGACTTTTCCTTTTCCCTTCACCATGACTGTGCTGATTTTTCCTTTCCCCCCGTCCCCCTACTTGGACATAGCATTATACTTGATCATCCTCCATTTGCGGAATCGTGATTCATGTCTCCATCGACGAAGACCACCTTCTGAGTTCGATTTTAAAAATGACACATATCTATGGGAACTCCCCCTGAATAATGATGAAGATGAGGAGTTCCACATTTCACAATGCGAGAAACGATTTCATCGGACAGGAAGTGATAGGGAAGCATGACGCAGGTCTATTAAATGGATTGTCTCGAAAATGCAAGGCGGGCAGAAACGAGTTGGAATTAAACTCAAGAGGCGCAAAAAAAGGGGGAGAAAAATGGTGGAGGGGGGGAGGGGAAAGACTTGGAAGGTCTATCGTGGAGGTGAAAGTCCCATCCTGTACAGAGGGATCCCATCATTCCATCGTCATAATGTGCTCGACTATGCAGGCGAGGAGACTCAATGCCCATCATAATTCACGGCTGACTCCAGCAATGTCTGGGGGCCTAATTACTCCGTCCATGCATCACGGGAATATATTACCCACACACACATGATAATGGCTGTGAGGCTCGGATAGAAAGGGCCAAGGTACTGTGCAAGTTCGAAGATACCCTATCATACAGAGGCATTAGAGAGCGACCTTGAATCTCCGTCTGAATCATGATATATCCCGAAGAACAAGACAGGCACAGATGGTGTTCTGGGTTGAAATCGATGGGAAGATGGATACGCTGGGATTCTTATCGAATGAAAAGAGTGGATAGGGCATCGGCGGAAACTCTGAAGAGCCCTCCGAGAGACAGAAACAGGAAGAGACGTCCCCCGTCCATTTGTTCATTCGTTTCCTCCTCGAGAGGTTTTCACTCGTTTCCTTGCCAGTCAAGTATCTCGTCCACCGTCTCAAGAACCCAATATAAGAAGACAAAAGATCTGCAAGCATTTTCGCTCTAGTGCCCCAGAAGAAGGATTTATCACCCAGGCCCACCCTTTCATCCAATAAAAGAGGGAAGAATTCTCTCACTCTCTCTAACACTAACTCATCAATGCTTCCAATTGTCTTCTGTTCTTGACAGGGACTGACTATTACTTTTTGCCATGGCCGTCAGGCATACAGAGGTGAAGGAAGAAAACTCACGTTGCATTCGGAGCTGAAGAGTTGATTCCGCTGCATCGACGTCATTGGAGAAGCGGCAGGAGTACCTCCCACTATCGTTCGGTAGAAGGCCGCCCCTGTCTCTGCCTGGGCCTTGGAAACTCAACACTGTGGATACGGTACTCAACGTATTTCCTGGATCACGGGACAATAGCTCGTGACTTCGGACCTCATACAAAGGACTGTCTACAGAGATCTCTTCTCCGTTCCTGTACCAGCGAACGCTTGGGCTCGGCTTCCCCTGAACACAAAGAGCAAGTAATTACAATCATCAGTCTCATTTGATTTGAAATGACCAAGGAAATTTCATCCCGGAAGAGGGCTTTCAGCACACTCAAACACACGAGCTTACCGTAGCAGAGCAATTGATGGAAAATCCTAGATCTCCGACGCTCCTGACAGCCTGGGGTGCCATGGGCATGACGATTTTGGGTGCTTGAAACACTTCCAGATTATAGGAGCCGGCACTTGATGCCCCCAGAGCATTTTGAGCTCTGCACTGATAGACACCCTCAGAGGCGAGAGAGAGGATGGGGAGAGTGAGGTTGGGTCCCATGGCGAGTGGGGTTCCTGGAGAATCCTGTTTCCACCATGTGAAAACAGGAGGAGGATAACCACGAGTCGGTTGTCCTGCAATCCCCATCCCAGGCGAAGTCCGAATCTCCGCTTCTCCTGGCCCATGACGAACCACCAGTTGAGAAGTTGCATTCTCTTGTCTTTCCATCCTCATCCCTGTTCCTGTCTTCGGCGCTGGGTCCATTATCACTGTCGCCGTACAGACATAGAAACCCGCATCTCGGGGTTCCACGTGTCTCAAGAGAAGAGTCTCTCCTTGGACATGGAAATTACTGCTACTACTACTTCCCTCCTCTTCCTTCCCAATTCCATGACTCTTTTTCCTCCATTCCACTCGAATGGGGCGAGGATTGGAGACGACTGTGCATTCCAGTCGAGCCGTTTCTCCTTCCCGGACTTCCAGTCTCTCTTGAACGCTTACCCTGGGACCGTGCAAGACTTCCACCTCTAATGACCCTTGACCCATCTGACCCAAGCCGTTATCCGCCTGACACACGTATTCTCCGGCATCCGAAATCTTCACATTGTCCAATGCGTGATGGAAGCCACGCGATAGGACTCTTGAGTGGCGAAGCCATCGAACTCCGACCACAGGTGGCTTGGCGTCTACTTCACACTCCAATCGCGCACGGGTCCCTTCTACCACTCGAACTGGGTCACCTGGTCCTACACTCACTCGAGGGAAATCTAGAGACACGAAAAGGGGAGAATCTTTTTCAACCTCTCGGGATTGAGCGATCAACTTTGCATAACAAAGCCAGCCTCTCAGACGAGTTCACCTAACCCGTCTTCAGTTTACGCTTCCGCAGCATCTTTTTAGCCGGTCTGGCACTTTTCTGGAGGAACCATTTGTAAGTCAAATGACTAGCTTGGCGATGAACGTGCTCAGAGTAAAGAAGAAGGGGGAGGATAATGAAAGGGGGGAAGAAAACGACCCCTAGTTTTAATGACTCAGGATCGGTGGCTAATTGTCCTCTCGATAATGACCCTCATGTGCAATGGAGGGAAAAACGCTTCTCTTGTTCCCGGACATCATATACTTATCTATCTAACTAGATCACACTCTAACAGCTCTTCTTTAATTTCTTTACACGCCTTGAAGGAAAAGGGTAACGGTGACACTCACAGTGAACGGAGAGCTTGGTGGTGACGGAAAGAGTTTTTCCTTCATTCAAGGCTCGATTCCATACGATGCATTTGAACTCTTCGCCATCGTCATCTTTGGTGGCTTGAAGTTTGAAAACAGCCTTAGTTGGCTTATCTCGGCTTCCTCCTGGCTGTAAACTTGCTTCCAGCGGTTGATCGCTGCCTACTCGATACCACCTGCAGATCAGAGATAATCGTATGTCACGAATGCCGAGACCTCTTCCTCTCCCCCGAATTGTCTCGTTTAGGAGAGATTGGAGACTGCTTGCATTGAATGTAGGTTTCACTTTTTCCGCTTCGTACAATGCTCCTTCGGAAATAAAACCTCCTTAGCGTTCGGAATTATATGCAAATCGTCATGGTAATTTCCTGTCGTTCAAAGGGAGGGGGATATGCTTACTCTTCATGCCTTTCTCTTCCGAAACGAATTATCGATATGGAAAGGGGTTGGATTTTTTTCCGACCCTCTTTTAAATCCCTCCCCAGAAAAGGGTAAAGAACTGACTTGATTTGCGGGTCCGGGCTTCCTCCTTGACTTGCACAAGTGAGTTCAATTTCGGCGCCTTCCACCACCACCGGCTGACTTGGGTATACATTCGGTGGTCCTGGTGCGACGAGAACTGTCACCTGGAATGTCTTCAGGACTAGCTGTTCACCTGTCTCCGGCTCTCGGATACTACACTGGAATTGTCCATTGTCTCTTGAATAATCCGATGCTTGAATATGCAGATCATATTTCCCTTCCGAGTGCTCATAGTCCAGCCTAGATCAATGGAAACAAAGGAAAAATGAATTCCTCCCGGTTTTCATTGGCAACTATAGGAACAAAGGAAAAAATCCCCGATGGCGATTGATAATGCTTTTAAGCCAGTTTCCTTTCAAGAAAGAAAGCTGCGATCAGCGACAGATTCTTGTCGGAGGGAGAGGCCACATATGTGTAGTGCAGAGCAGGTGAAAGCCCCATCACCTAATCGTATGTACATGTTGGAGTGTGATATGTGACTAGACAAGAAATGGCCTTCTCGTGTAGTCAATGGCCATTGTTGTCGCTTGGTTGGCGCCCCTCGACCTGGACCATAGACCTCCCCAAAGGCCATTACCAGGGCATGCGGCAAATTTTTTTCCACGGACGAGATTCTTTTGGTAAAGCCAATCAAAATTCAATGAGCTTAAACGTATACATGAAGGGAACATTATGACTCTGTTTTTCATCTCCCTTGAAAATTGTCTGATTGCCCTCTCGAAAATACTTTCTATTCAAAACGTAAAGGGGGGAAGGGGGAGCAAGGCACGCAGGGAAACCGATCCGAGAACATCTGCTTGAGAAACAAGTCAGGTGGTCAAGAAAGGCAATTTGCTCGATGAGATTGTTTGCTTCTTATGCAGAAGGGAGGGGGTGGGGGCGATCATCGAAAGGAGGATTGGTGGGAGTGAGGGGGAGTGGATTCCCCGCCTTTCCTTCCTGTGGCAGATGATACACCCTTTGAAACGACTCCCCAGGAGGTCTGTTCAACATTCATGACCCCAGATATGCTATACCTGTGCATGCTGGCATGAAATTGACAGGCAATCCGGGATTTCACGCGTCAAAGAAACCTCCTGAACAGGTTCAATTAACTTACCCCTGGGATGGAACCTAGAATCTATTGTGTAAAGTTCTGACTTCATTCCCGTTGGCCTTTCTTTGCTTTACTTTTGTCATGAAGAAACGAGATGTTTTTGTAAACTCCACTGCCTCAATAGGATCTGGAAGAACATGGAAATGTAGGATTCAGTTGGGTTCGCTCGAGGCCAATTTAAAAGCAAGCTGTGGCCGTGGCTTCTCCATTCATTTGCATGACCCATGGGTATGAAGCAGAAGGGGCTAAGTAAGCTCTCTCCCGTTCTTGGGACACCTGATGCATCTTGTACCCGAGCCTTGCTGCCCCAATTCCCTCCCTATGCTTCCTCTCTTCTGTTAATTAATCTTCCTTTCCTTCTCTTAGATCTGTATCTATTACTCTCTATTCTCTCTGCTCATCAAGTGCACCATAAGGTCTCGCGCTGAAACTTTCATATTACGTATGAAACGATGATACGCTTGAAAATCGGAATCTCGACATTCTGAACGGTTTTGGAGAGTCTCAAACGGTCCTCCTCACCTGTAGCTTTTCTCGAGAATGACACCAAAGAGGGCAACATTGTCTCCCAGCTGTCCATTCCCATGACGCCAATAAAAGGCGGAGTCGGGCGGGATTCTTTGAGGATCGAAGCGGCATTGAAGAACGAGAGCTTCCCCTTCCGTCACATCGGCTATCTCGATTGGAGCACCTTCAGGCATCCCTTCCGGCACCACCATGACCAGGCCTAGAAAAAAAACTCCATTGATATCAACATGTCTCTCATTAACGACCTCCCCTTCCCTTTTCAGGACTTGTGACAAGCCATCGGTCATTTGAATGCTCCTGCCTGCATCCCTATGGCTGCAGAGTGTAACGGGAATCGAGCCTAGCCCAGTCTTTTCTTCTTTGCCTCGGGCTTCCTGGTCACTCTACTCACAGGCAATCTGTATGCCGAAAGAGTCACAGCCTGAGCCAGAAGAGATGGTCACTGACCTCATGCATCCTGGGCTTTTGATTGAAAACGGGTTACCACCGTATTTCCTTATCAACCAAACTGCTTCCCCTCCGTCGTCGGCTTATTCCAACACGTTCCCTCTATTCAGATAATTAATCCAGCCATCACGATTTTCCCGACTTCCGAACGGATAAGCTTCGTGCCACGAAACTTCTTTTCAACTCAAGCTCCCAAGCCGTGACAGATGGTCCGCACTGCTTCGAGTGTCTCTCCTGTCCGTAATTCCCGTTCCTGAATGCGATTCAGGACGTACAAAAAGAGAGCAAGAGCCTCAAAAGAGCATTTCTTCTCCCCTGTAACCAACTCCCATCGAGGCGTAGGCGTGTCACATTTGCTTTGAATAAACTGATGGAATATAAATGAGTTTGAGCACAGCATGCACGCGATTCCGTGATTCTCGTTCAGGAGTCAAACGAACATATATATATTTTAACTTTTTTCCTGCGACCGTGCGCTATATGTAAAATATCAATGTACGAACCGAACAAGGATGAATGCATGAATGGAGATGAAGGGAGATCCCCTCTGGTCAAACCCGGTTCATTTCTCATGTCCTCGGGATCATGGATCTTTTCATAAAAGCTGTCATTACATCCAGATCCACCTAGTCGACTGCCAGTTCATTGGCCAAGAGGTCGTCTACATACAGAAGCTATCTTTCTTGAGGATCCGTTATATCCTCCTTATTCTGCATTCAACACCCGAACCCTTCCAGTCCAGTGAGAGGATATAAAACCGGAGTGTATATTTTTCTTTTCCGCTCGCAACCTCTCGTTAGCAACCCGTTTCAAACTCGACATAACACGAAGCATTACCATATTACAGTTTCAGCTGTTTCCCAGAAACACGAAACAATCAGGCGTTCATTACCAAATTTCAAGGAGGGTGGAGACGAATAATCGAATGTTTGACGGTTTCCACGGCATGTCCATGTTGGTGGGTGGCAGGTTGGTACTGTTCATGGTATGAAATTTTCTCATCCCATGGTGACCTGAAATACTCTCCGATTATAGGCTATTCCCCACTCTGCTAGGCGCATAAGTGGTAGGCGAGGACTCAAGTTGATGGAAGTGTATAATCCAGTTTACAGTGGATCCAGTGAGGAGTAGACCTCGGTCTAGGAGAGGGCTAGGCTGGATTGATGATCCCCGGAAGCTACGCGTTGACCGACCAGCATTCCGGAACACTCGAGAAAACTCACTGGATGGGATTCCATCAGCTTGATGACACCGACCCCAGGGATAACTATAAACCCCACCAGTTCCTGGCTCTAGCTCTAGCTCATTTTCTTCCACATGACAAGATGGAACCTCATAAGCCATGACCCGCTTTGATTAAAAGCAGAAAAAGAATGTTCATAAGGAGTTATAGGGAGGGAAGCGTGTGGCACTGCGTGCGGAGGCAATTACCCCGTACAATGGATAATATCACGGGGATGAGACAGGCAGTGCATCCAAAAAACAGGGGAATAATGGAGCGAGGAGATCGGTGGAAAGAAAAGAAGGGAGGGGAACACACAACACACACACATACGTGGAATGAAAATTCCATTTAGAGTGGCCACAGGACGCTGAGGGGTCTCATGCATACAAATGTGCCCCCCTCTAGGCTCGCCCTCAATCACGCCCATGGAAAACAACAGCCAGAACCTCCCTTAATCGAAGCATCTTTATACCTGGGGATATGTCACCAGTTCATGAATGGATTCACCAGAGCTAGTCAACGAGGGTGCTGCTCTTAACATATCATGACGCTATCTGCAGGATATCTAACAATCAAGCAGACGTGGGACACGTGCCATGTCAAGCTGAGATGTTACAGATTCATAAGCAAGCTGCTCCTCTCTCCTGTAGCCCTAACGTTAATACATTTAACTAGCGCTCTTACTCGAGATATCCCTGCAGAGTCACAGGAGGGGGGGGGGGGGGGGGGGCGGGTAAAATCGAATGAAAGGACCTTTTCCTCCCCCCCCCCTTTCATAAATTACATGACACCAATATCACTAAATGTCGCAAAAATGAATGAGTCTTTAATCTGACCTGAACATAGGGGGGAGCGGGCGTGTAAAATCGAATGAAAGGACCTTTTCCTCCCTCACCCCTTTCAACATGGATGTATAGGGGAAAGAGGAAGATTCATTCTCTAGCTTCCATGGTGCCAGGCTTCCTGACATATTGATCCACTTTCTATACGGTTCTGTCTTCCCTTCCAGGACCATTTGCACCCATACCCCTATTCCCTGTGGATGTCATCCATCATACTTTTTTCCTTCAAGGATGAAATTCCCTCAACTGAGTGAAGACTCAATCCAGGTTCAGCTCATACACGCCCCTTATTCATCACTTTGAGCCTGTCTCCCACGCCACAGCAAGAAGCATCATTTCCCCTTTCCTCAGGAAGGTATTTAAATCCGGTTGGGACGGATTAGAGAAGGCAGTCTTTTGCCTGCAGAAACTGTGAGAGGGCGATGGATAAGGCCGAAGCTGAAAAGAGGGGCCTGGGGGTTTCTACTGTATTTACTATGAATTCTATAAGACGAAAAGCCCCGCCATTCCGCAGGCAGACAAGAGTTAGGGTGAATCCCTTGAAATATTGGCCCGAACATTGCTAAGAAGGACAAGACCCGTCCTTTTGCTTGGTCAAGTAATTACGGACTAAAGCCCGCGGGGGGGGTTTCTCTCTCACTCTTCCGAGGGATGTGAGATAAATTTGTCGGGCCTAGGCCACGAGGTAAGGGCAAGAACGGACCATTAGGAAACGCATATGAAAGGCGCCGAAGGCATTAATCAGCGGAAAATGTGAAATAAAGGCGGAAGAATCATCCCATCTCCTTTCCCACCCTTCTTCTATTCTCTTCTTTGGCATTCTCAACATGGAGACGACTTCTGGCGGGGGGGGGGGGGGGTAAGAAAACCATCAAGGAATCTCTCGTTTCGTCCAGTGTCCATCTGCCCGGAAAGTTTGGACAAAAAAAAAATACACACAAGTGCAGCTTGCTCTGTCCTCTCGTCTGGTATGGTGGACATGCAAACATCCTAGGCTCCACCGAGTGTTTGTTTAAAGCAACACAAGGGGCAAGCTGAAGTCAACAGCCATTTAGAGAGGGGGAGCAAACACAGGACCAACGTTCCTCCAAGGTTTCCAACCACCAATGGAGGGGAAAAAATCGAAAACGGGGATGAAGTTCCCTTGTGTTGACGGCCAGATTGACTTCCTGCCTCTGTCTCGACTGATTGACTGAAAGAAACCCGAAGACGCAGCGAAACTGAGAGACGGATGCATAGAAGATCAAATATCCACGAGGACCGGAAATATGTCAGGTGATGACAGAAGGGAAGATTTTCATCTCACATCTCTTCCTCTGTCGTCAGGGTGGAAGGGGGTCGCGATCAGCGATCAAGTCGGAAAGAAAGAACCCGAAGACAAATCCGAAAACAGGGAGGAAGGGGGCAGAAACAAACATTCCAGATTGTTTTGTCTGTCTCCTCTCTCCTCCCCCTCCACTTGAGCAATACCACACACACTCACAGGGACGAACACATGGTCTGTGAAAGAAGGGAGTCGCGGAGGTATTTTATATAATGATTCTTAATGTCTTTGTTTGGGGTCGCGGAGAGGGTCAACGTCAGCTGGGCAGAGCCAGAGATGCTATAGAGACCCCATAATCGACGGTTTCCGTCGACTTTCGTCGTGAGAACCATGCCAATTAAAGACCAGCTTAAATGTTGATCCCTATCACGTCCCAGCCAAGGAAGTGTTTCTCGACTGTTCTACTCTAACGGACCTTTTCCTTATCGCAGACATCATCGAGCTCTCAGTCAAAGTCGAGCAGGAAAGGAGTGAAAAAAAGATGGCAGTAGAGAGGAAAGAGAAAGGGAGATTCTCAATGCGGTTATGAAGATGGCAAAGGTCTTCGGGTCGGTCGGTCGGCTTCTCTCATCCATGACCTGTCCTTGGATTGTGGCCGACGGAAATTGGCCCAAAGACAAGAATGACTCGACGGAATCTCACAAGTCATCTTCCTCCAAAGCCGCTTCTCTATCTCCCTCTCGACAAGGAAATTCTCACCCTTTTGGCGGGTGCAAATAGTTTCGGAATTGCTCCCAGGTGGAGAAAGCAGAGTTGATCCGACGAGGCGAATGTTTTATGGAGGCAATCGAGGGTTCTTAGAGGATTCCCTCTTCGTTCGCACCTCTCTCGGATCATCTGCACCTACCCGCAACAAATGATAAACACGACACCTGCCAGCCAATTTGGTGTTCCGGCCTTTCGCAGTCCTCATTTTTTAATGAAAATGGCAGAGAATACAGAAAATAAAAAAATCCGAGGTCACTCGGATTTCACGTCATTGTCTTGGAATGAGCCTAATTACCATTTCCTTGTTGGTGACATTGTGACATTACGAATCCCCCTGTCGATATGTCCTTGGATGAAAATTGCATCGCTGTGTCATGTTCGTTTCGCAATTGTGCATAGTAAGAACCATCTAGTAATCTGTCAACCCTTTTTCACTTCCTTCTGTTCCTCCCTCCACGGATGTGCGCCTCCCCGAATGACGCGGAAATATTCCTTGATGGAGCGAGGATCGTCCAGAGCCAACCTGCTTGATTCACGCGATGTGAAGGATGACCACCTCGGACGCGGAGGGATGATGACCGGGAGACACGTCAAAAGGAAGGAACATGAGTTAACTATTTACGGATCTAATGGACCGTGACGAATCGGCGTTTGATGCAGATCGTCACTGAAGGGGAACGACACGTTTCGTCTTTCCATTTCTCTGCTGGTGTCCAAGGAGTTTTTACAAGCGGGGGGTAATGAATTTGGCACAGCGGCTTGTATGTTTGACCAGGTGCAAGGGGGAGGAATTCCGTTTCTCGCATTGTGGGGTCTTGCTTGCTTCGGGGCTCCGGAAAAATAGGAATAAAAATAAAAAAAAGAGCCTCGCGGAACCATGGCCACTGCAGGACAATGAACGCCCGAAAAGTCACATCTCAATGAAAGAGACGTGGATGGAGACCCTGTAGACAGGATTATCCCCCTGCGACGTGCCCTTGCAACCTATCCAGGTATCATGTTCATGTTGTGCACCTTCCCTCTACTCCCCGTTCAATAATACCTGTGGACGGCAGAGACGAATGGACGAGGCCTAACCCCTGCTGTGCCTCCCTTCCTCCATGCAATGCAGCAATATGTCCCAGTCCATGGATTCCCAGTCCTAACCTATATCGCAGGCTAGGCAAACCCTGATTAGGCCCATGGTATGAGTTCCCCCCGGTGGAGAAGATTCTATGCATGCCGCTATCCCGCGTCATCACAAAATGAGAGGAAAATACAGCCAGAGGCATTCCAAAGTCTTCGTCTGCAAGGAGGTCAACCTTCCTCGTAATAACGGCCATTCTCTTCACTTCCTTCGGCCTCCTACACTCTCCCCCATCATCTTTCCTTCTTCCTTCATGGGAGCCCATCTCGACGGACATCCCACTTTCTCTACGCGAGTTCCAACCCCCTTTCAGTGAAGAAGGGTCCGGCATAAATTTTCGATAACGGAAAATGCAAGCTTGAAGTCTCTGTCCTCGATTTTATTCTTTTAAAAGATGGATCTCATACAAGACCGAGAAAATGTGGTCTCAATCCCCGAGAGCATGGCTGGTATCCAAAAATGGTAAAAAGTAGAGCTGCAAGCTGATTTGGAATGAACTCAACTGTATGCTGGATTAGCCAATTCTCTCATTTCCTTTTACGTTCTTGGTTTCTCTTTGGAGAGACTTTTGGCTTCGTTGATGACTCCCAAGTGAAAAATGGCCTGATTATTCGGCTGGAGGACCACAAAATGTCCCGGTGCCATGCAAAGCCATCCATCCCCTCCCTCCCCTTCATTTCATACCCTACCCCATGCCTACACTTTTCTCTATCTCTATCTATCTCTCTCTCTCTCCCTCGCCGAATGGACAGACTTAGCCTTTGTTATGGATGGATGTCTCTAACCCCTATCGCTCTTGACTGGATTGGAAATCTTTCTACTCCTAGGCGACCATTGTCCGAGTCCGGTCTTGACCGCAGAATACTCTTCACTACAAGGTCTGACTCCGAAATGAGATACGATCGGAAAGAACCCGAGGGCAGTTTCTCTAGGATCTTTAAAGCCTCCATCAGGTCACGCCTGCGTTTCTTGAGATGAGCAGAAGCGTCGCAACACGCAACATCAGTCGGGCAGCCGAAACTCCGTATTCGAAAAAGTTTCCATCTCCCAGGGTGAATTCGATTGACAATTAATTCTCAAATTTTTAACGGAATTATTCGGAAGTTTATTGAATTTTGTTTCCATCAGGATGGCAAATTGAGATCAAAAGATATCTCTTCTATTTTTTGTAATATTAGACGGAAATTGTTTTATTTATCCATTAATGTGTTTCTTATTTACCCTATTCATCGTACCCCAGTATCTTTCATGCATATGACGGTGACTTTCCCCATTGCTTTTGCCTTTCCCTTCATTTCACTGTCGAAATATAAATACGCATGCACACGAAGTGCAATTTTGTCATGTTTCCGGGACCATACTTTTGCCATGAAAAAATCGGAACTCACAGAGCAGAATGGCCGTGCACATCCACATCTTGGAGATCAGTCCCGAAATGCAGGTAGAATGACGTCGCTGAGTGAGTGATGTCATGTTCGGGTGACACAGTTTCACAGCATGTCACAGAAGGTAGGAGACGAAGAACGTGGACCAACGTGGAGAATGCGGTTGAAGACAGACGCGAGGAGAGTCACATGAGAAGATCTGCGGCGAGAGAGAGCCACGCGGGGTCTGTGAGCAACACATGCCAGCCCCCATCCTTTTACAATCTCTCGCCCGCTAGTTCTTTTCCGCGCCTGGAGATGGCACCACTGTATTCCCCATCCAACACCTAAGAAAAACTGGAAAATGTAAGGGTTTTCGAAAACTCGTGCTGCATGTCTTACGGTGTTCCGTAGCCAATGTCCAACACCGTGACGTATGCTCAAAGTTATGTGCAACTTCATATGAGGGAGTGGCCGAAAGGAGTCCTACAGTTCCGATCACCTTCAAAATTCAATATTTGTTCCAACATGAGGAACTGTTGTTGACCGAGCCGGGATGCAAAAGGCCGGAACTTTTCAAAGAGGGTGAGCTCTGTTGTCTTCGCAGAACTGTCGTAAGATGGAACCGTTTTTGAACAAGGTGCGAAGAAG